TGGCCGTCACGTTAGCACATTTCACCTCTTTCTTTCATAATGAGGTGAAAAGTATTAAACGAGGAGAAAATCACTACAAGTCTGGGCATGTGGAGAGCTGTATGTACACACAAGGTGAGTGTTAAACAAGTGTAAAGTGTAACTTTAATGTCAGCAAGCTAACATTAGCTAACAAGGTAAACTCTCGTGTTTTGTTTTAGAAACTAGTTTTCTGTGTACCTTGTACTAAGGAGTTAGTTAGCTAGTTTTCTCATTAAGAACTGCGTGATCGCTGTGTATGCTGTGGATAACAATAGTGTTGGCAAGGACAAGGTACACAGAAAACTAGTTGCTAAAACAAAACACGAGAGTGTACCTTGTTAGCTAATGTTAGCTAGCTGACATTAACGTTACACATTACAGTTGTTTAACACTCACAGAAATCTTGTACAGCCGGTCCCGCATGCTGGCTATTACGGAACCGACTAACTCCCCTTTTGTGTAATAGCAGCTCTCAACATGCCCAGACGTGTAATGATTTCCACCTCCTTTAATACTTTTCACCTCATTCTGGTGTTGGTGATGTGTATTGTGTGAGACCAGAGATGTAATTCATTGAGCGGTTTCACACACAAATAAGTGTTACTTCACAGTTTTACGACAAACTGTGACTTTTTTTACTTGGAAATTAATGTTTAAGATTGACAAACATCATATATGTAATTCATGGCACAATTCGAACGGGATCGAAAGATAACTTTTCTCTCGCCATTGACTTCAATACATAATTTTTCCGAAATAAGGTCCCATGGAGTTCCCCCGGAAGGGGAGGGACACGAACAGTATATACAATGATTACGAATCGGTGTCTCATGCAGAGGGCTGAACTGTACATTTGCCGTGTGTTCAACCTCAGGAGAGTCAAATTTCAAAATTCAGGAAGTAAATGAAGTAAATAAGGAAAAAAATTTGGGCAGGAAGTCATTATGTTCAATGGGAAAAAAAAGTGCACCAGCCCGAGCAAACCAATAACTTTTTCAGTTCATTTAGAATGAAGTGCGGTATTCTATGATTAATCAGATGACTCAATGACATATGTTCGATATGTACACTGACATGAAAATAAAGCAGAAGTTGTATACTGCATGTTGCTGGGGAGGACATTCATCGCCACTTGTTTAAAGTCTAATTTTGTATAATTCAAAACGATGAAATAAATAAATATAATTTAAATATCAGCTGCTAGAGGGGGCTGACACTTTATTCTTAAACAACATGTGATGTTACTTTCCTTGAAAGGGCAATGTATAAACTTATACGCGTTTGCCGCTCCTCATTATCATTTATCCCATGGCTACTTAAATTAGGGGCGTCAACTGCGAAACTCCTGGAAAACCTTTTAAACTAGCTGTTGTCAAACGAAGACGGATTCAAGCTTCCAATGCAGACAAGCTGGTGACCCTCCATGTTTCCAACAACCCTGTGCTTCTGTTCCATTAGCTGGTGGAAACATCTATATTGATTGTGACTTTTCTACATCCAACTCACAGGTTTATAATTACTTTGAGAAAAAAGATTATTAATTTACCCCTTTTAGAAGTGAAGATATTTGTTCTGGGAATGTCATTTTCGAGCCTGAGACCTGAAAAACAGGCTTGGGGCTTAACAGGTTAATTCATCTGAAAACTGAAGTACTGCTGCTCCACTTCAAACACTTCCATTTGAGCTATTAGAGATGCAATGAATATCTGGTAAGTAGTTTAAAATGGAGTTGTGAGTAACAACATGTTCTTGTAGCTCTATGTACACTTTTTGTTTGTTACAAAACCATTGGAGGAGAGTTTTAAGAAAAGTACTTTTTTATGGGTCTACTGATAAGATGATGTATATGTGAGAGTTATGAGGGCTGTAAGTGGCTTTATTCTAATAACTAGCACATGTTTTCTTTCATCCAAAGACGTTTTAATGACTTAATTTTCCTAATCATTAAATCGTATCATTGTCATACATATGATACATTTTCAGTTCCTCATTACAGCAAATCGGTGATTGCTCACGGTTACGGATCTCATTTAGAATAAATCAAAGACTTATTTATTCTAAAGTTATCCTAAGCCTCTGTATGATGAATCTGACCTTCCTTTATTACCTTCAATATGTTGTAGTTTTAAGTAAACAAAGACAGATGTGAATGAGCCACCTGCTGCCCAACAAAATAGCCAGAAGCTGTTCCACTGCACCGTCCTCCACCCCCTCCTACCCAACTGTCCTTGCAGATTACCTTGTTTGTTGCATGAACACGTGATGATAATATTTCCCAATTTGACCCTTTGGACGCCAGCTGCGACGGAAAACAAGTCAAGAGAACAAATACTTTGCAAAGCTTCCCCAACCTCAAAGAAAATATATTTCACAGTAAGCGCTCTCAACTGTTTCAGTTAATACAGTTCATGTTGTCTCCACTGCCAATGCACATCTCACACAGTGTGTGGAGGTCTGTCAGCACAGGGTGGAGGGCAGTAGGAGGAGGATGCAAAGAGAAAACACATGGAGTTGCGGTGTGTTCAAGGTAACGGCAGCCGACAGTTGGGGTCGTTTCTTTTGCCGCGGTCCATTACACAGCGGCGTGTTGCAGCAGGTGATGCACACTGAGTTCAGCTTGCCGGTGCAGAACTGCTGGTAGCCAGAAGAAGCGATGAGACAGGCTCCTGATGAGGCGCATGACTTGCGGTAGTGTATCCCTGAAAATAAGGACAGAAACTAGGGCATTAGGCTGGTAATGAGAAGGAACAAAGAGAGAAACAGTGAGAGGGAGGCATGTAATTAAGGATAAACAGGATGTAGCCTTTCATCAAGGGGAACCCAACTTAAAGGAAATATCTCTGCATAATTGGACTTGTGCTCCTTTTGGGGTCATAATACTTTGCTTTCTCCTGTGTCTCTTAAAGATTTGCATACAATTGTCCCAGTATCTAGTCTAATTAGTTCATGAATTGGGAAAATAACTCCTTATATGCTTTTTAACTGGTGCTCTCAGTGGGTGCGACTTTTGATATAACACACTTGAGCCACAAATCCTAACTAGCTGCAAAATCATTTTTGTACAGTGACTTTTAGCATAGAACATGATCCTCAAAGTTCTGAATTGTCGAAGGTTACCCATGGCAAATAATAAGAATAAACAAAGACATTTATGATTGGTCAATCAACCAGTGGTCAGCTGCCCAGGCAGCAGGGTCAATGGGTTCCTGGAGCCATCAAGCTAATGTATATTGTTTGTCTTGCAAGCAATGTGTGTAAACAGGCTACTTCAAGAAGTTTTAAAATGGTTATGAAACAATCCAAATATAATACTTATTCCTCTATGACAAACTTACGGTAACAGGACAATAAGGAGAATATTTGCAACTTCCCCCTAAAGATATTGCTAAAGCCTGTCACCGGATCAGATTTACCACGAACCGTATAACGGAGACCGTAGAGTACATATTTGTATAGGCAAAGTTTTGCAGTGAGAAATAGTAGTATATGATTACATATTAGGGTATATTATTATATTACAGTCAATGATCTTTAATAGCCTCAGCGAGATACATGACCTATTCAGTTCAATTGTGTTCAAAAAATAACATTTGTATTTCAATATTCATATGGAAGCATGAACAAGAGGTGGAGGTGCTATTAATGATAAAAAGGATGTTTTGTCAACGGAGTTAGCAACAATCCAGACATTGAGGAAAGTCCTTGAAATAAAACTTTACACAAAATGAAATTGAATATTGGTTTTATTTCTGCATTATATCCAGGTTGTTCTAAATATAACAATTCAACAACACTGTTTTAAAGTATGAGTGTGACACTAGCCAGAAAAGGGTCTTATTAAATAGTGACTGTTCATGGACCCCACGGCACCAGGCACCTAAAAAAAGGGTCGCTCAACATTTTTTTAAGAGAAAAAGCAGTTATCACAGCTGACATTTTGCCTTGAATTGGAATTATTTCTAATGCCCAAAGTGGGCGATTCCACTGGTTGCAAAAATATGTTTTAAAGATTGTATGTTGCTCCTGATGGACTAAATAATCTATATGTAGTCCATTTACCATTATAAAATGACTCTCCTTCTCAATTGAATTTTTACATCAGTAAGCATATTCCTGATTTATGGTTTATGCTCTCTATATATAGTTTCAAGTCTTCTCTAACACAGCATGACATACATTTATAAACTGTGATCCCATTATAGTAATATAAATTATAAAGCACCATATGTTTTATGACGTGGCTACCTTGTGATTGTTAAGTTGCTACAACAGAGCCATTGTATTAGGGGCAACGGAGGCTGCAAGGTGGTGCGGTCGTCCTCTAATCGGAAGGTTAAACATGTCGATATATCCTCAGGCAAGATACTTAACCCAGAGTTGCTCCCGATGGCTTGGCCAAGGATGTGCTTACTTGAGCAAGTGGCACATTGCTCTGTAGAATGTAAAGCGCTTTGATGGGTCGTAAACACTGGATAAAGCGCTACATGCTGTAAATACAGCCCATTTACCTTTATTATAGCAATGTTTAGCGTTTGGTTGGCTGCTCAATATTTCTGATCATTAAAAGCAAGCATGTTTTCTCTGAAGAACCAGCACCTTACCGTGGTAGAGAGGTTTGTGTGCCCTGATGAACCTGGGGGCTGTGTTGTCTGGAACCTTGTGTTCCTGGTAGGGTCTCCCATGGCAAATTGGTCTCAGGCAAGGGGTCAGACTAAGATTGGTTCAGAAGACCTCATGAAAGACGACACACGAAGTGAGGATACCCGGCCCGGAGGAAGCCCGGGGTCCCGTCACCTCTCTGGGGGGGGAGGAGTCGGAGCTTGTGCGGGAGGTGGAGCATTACCAGTTGGATCTGGTTGGGCTCACCTCTACGCACAGCGTCGGCTCTGGAACCTTACTTCTGGATAGGGGTTGGACTCTATTCTTCTCCGGAGTTGCTCAAGGTGTGGGACGCCGGGCGGGTGTGGTGATACTCACAAGTCCCCGGTTGGGTGCTTCGTTGTTGGATTTTACCCCAGTGGACGAGAGGGTCGCCTCCCTACGCCTGCGGGTTATGGGGGGGAAAACTCTGACTGTTGTGTGTGCTTATGCACCCAACAGCAGTTCAGAGTATAC